ACCGGTTAGCAAGGCCGCTCCAAACAACTACCACCCTGCCGCAATCGAGAAAGAAGGTGGATACCGCACCGATATTAAGCCAATTCACATCACCCAGCCAGAGGGTGTGTCTTTCGAGGTCAAGGGACGCACAATCGAATGGCAGAACTGGAACATCCACGTCGGCTTCAACTACCGCGAAGGCATTGTCCTGAACAACATCACTTTCAACGACAAGGGCAACGTGCGTCCTGTCTTCTGGCGTCTTTCACTGGCCGAGATGGTCGTGCCATACGGCAACCCGGAACATCCCCACCAACGTAAGCACGCATTCGACCTGGGCGAGTACGGCGGCGGATACATGACCAACAGCCTGGCACTGGGATGCGACTGCAAGGGCGCAATCCACTATATGGACGCGGCATTTGTCAACCGTGCCGGCGCCAGCACAATCATCAAGAACGCCATCTGCATCCACGAAGAAGATGCCGGCATCCTATTCAAGCACACCGATTTTCGCGACGAGTCGATGGTCGTAACTCGCGGCCGAAAGCTCATCATCTCGCAGATCTTCACCGCAGCAAATTACGAGTACTGCGTGTACTGGATCTTCCACCAAGACGGTACAATCCAGCTCGAGATCAAGCTGACTGGAATCCTCAACACCTACGCTATGAACCCTGGCGAGGATACTAAGGGCTGGGGAACTGAGGTGTACCCTGGCGTCAACGCCCACAACCACCAGCACCTGTTCTGTCTCCGTGTAGACCCGAACATCGACGGGCCAAGCAATACCGTCTTCCAGGTAGATGCAGTGCAAGGACCCGGCGAAGTCGGCAGTGCCAAGAACAAGTATGGAAACGCCTTCTACGCGAAAAAGACGAAGTTCTCCACACCCCTCGAAGCAATGTCCGACTATGACGGGTCTACCAGCCGTACCTGGGACATGGCTAATACCAACAAGCTGAACCCATACAGCAAGAAGCCCGTCAGCTACAAGCTCGTCAGCCGCGATGTTCCTCCCCTGCTTCCTAAGGCCGGTGGACTAGTATGGAAGCGAGCTGGATTCGCACGCCATGCCGTCCATGTCACTAAATGTGAGTTTGTTCCACTCCCCCTTTCTTATATCGTGTTCTTTTCTAACCCGTTTCTCTAGATGACGACGACCAAGTCCACCCAGCTGGACGCCACGTCCCACAGACCTCTGGCGAGCCCTCGGAGGGTCTACCGGCGTGGATCGAAGCTGCTGGACCCGGTTGTTCCATTGATAACACCGATGTCGTGCTTTGGCACACTTTCGGTCTAACACACTTCCCCGCGCCGGAGGATTACCCGATTATGCCTGCGGAGCCAATGACACTTCTTCTGCGTCCTCGTAACTTCTTTGACCGGAACCCGGTCCTTGATGTGCCTCCTAGCTTTGCGCGTACACCGACGCAGGTGGCTGCTAACGCCAGTTCTTGTGCATGTAAGAATAGCGATGGGTCTAGTGTTTTGGTTTGATTTTGATGAGATTCGACGTTGCTTTGGATTGGTGGTTTTCTCAGCGTGTACTTCTTGTATATAAGTTCCTTTTCCTGCCTTCTAGACTTTCTGGAATCCAGTATATTTTTCTATTATATGAAGATATATGTTGCCATTGTCTCGGGATATTAAAGAGACGCGAAACAAGTTAATATAGTTTCAATTGTGAGTGAAAACATCAACTACACACACAGCGATCAACAGATAAGAGGGCTTAGAATTTAAACTCCAGTGAACAAGAAGCGAACCAGCATAGAAGGCGAGGGGAAATTTAAGGAAGCGCCTTAAGGAAGCGCCCTGGGAATTTAGTCGCAAGGTCATTTTTTGCAATGGATCTGACTCTCCCACGATTACTTGCAAAGTGAACAGGAAGAGAACCCTGGAAGGAACATGGTTATAGTCTGATAATCTTTGTTCTGATAGCTACAGGAAGTAATCAGGGTATATACCTAGGTACCTAAGTAGCCCTGGAGGTGCTGGAGATGGTATGAAGTAGAAGATTGAAAAGGAATGGATATACTTGGGCAAATACGTTGTATGCCTAGGTGATGACCTTATATATATCAAGCAGAGTCTGACCTAACTTTGCTTATTTGTAAAAGATGCTAGCCTGTTACTATTTCATGTTATATGAAGACCCTTTTTTTTTTGTAGAAAAGCAAAGGCACGAAACGGAACAAGGTTTCAACCTTGAAAGGCGACAAGAATAATAAATCTTCATGCGAGTAACGGCGAAGATGAACGGACGGAGAGTGTGGCGACAACATATAAATCACATAAACGCCTCGAAACATCCCAACAGGGAGGGAATCATGTAGTCAAAACCAAATAAACCATAAAGCCTCAATACAGTCTAGCCAAAACACAGAAACAAAAAGGATAGACCAATTTTAAGCCGAGGATCCCCGCAACAAAGCCCTATCTACCTCCCCAAGCAATGCAAACAACTCCTTCCCACCCTCAGAATCCTTCCCTTCAATATCAAGCGACTTATGCAAGAACTTGCGCGCCTCCTCATAGCGACTCATCTCCGCAAGACACTTAGCGATACGCCACCAAGCCTTAACATTCTGGACAGGCTTCGAGTCAACACTAGCCTTAGCATCAACCAACGCCTCAGGCCAAGCCTGCAACGCCATATGCGCCTGCGCACGGTTCGCATAAAGACCAGACAACTCCTCGCGCGCAACGCCAATAGGCTCCCAGCCTGGCCGGCTGAGTCCCATGTCGATGGCGTACGAGTACAGCTTGATTGCCTCTTCGTAGTTGGATTTGCGGTGGGCGGTGTTGGCGCTGTCGCGGAGTTTGGAGATCTGTGCGCTGCGCTTGGGGTTTACGGGGAGGGGCGCCGGAGGGATGTTGGGTGGGTCGAGGCTGATTAGGGCGCGGTGTAGTTGGTTCAGTTCTTCCAGCTCGGTGTTGATTGCGGCTGTTTGGGAGGGTGTTTGGGCGGATGAGTGTGGGAGTGAGAGTGCTTTGGTGGCTGGGTCCATGTACAATGGGTATTGGTTGTAGAGATCGATTTCACTAGCCATTTTGGGGTTGGGGAGACCGGAGGTCTCGGTGTTGGGGTTGTAAAGTCGGCTGTTGCTTCTCGGGTTGTTAGTATATGCGCTGTGGTGTGACTGGGCAGGTGTTTCGGTGGTGGAATGGGAAGGTCTGATGGGGGGATGGGTTAATCCATACAAGGTACAGTCCTGTGTGTATTGTTTAGTTTTTTTTACAAAGCACGGCTCACTTTGAGGTCAATATTCGGGTTTGTACTTGTCAAGAGATGGTGATGACAAGAGGGCAAGCTGTCCATAAACCCACTGATAGGAAAGCGGTGGCAGAATACTCGTACCTTGTGCTATCTATCACTATTCTTTTCTTCTATGAGCCACAGTGAGAGGTGAAAAGATAATTAATGGGATACGATCATAAAAAGGTGAACATACACAATTGCTTCAAATTCTCCAAAAAGGATATTTGTTTCGGACAGGCAGATCATATCTCAGCCCTGGAGATATCATCTACAAAACACCCCCGGAACACATGATTTTACAATGCAATACATCTATATTTTGCTAGATCCAATTCAACAAAAGCAGGACATATAATCGTAATCCCAGAGCCAAAGACCGCTGAGAAACAAAGTAAAGACAAGGGCATCAGCCCAGAGTAAACAGCGATGCGCCCAACACCGCTCCATGGTCAATATCCAAGGCGCAAAAAAAAGCAAGACAACTCATCAATTCCCGGGTATTTCATTGAGCTATGCCTCCATGTACACTGACAACACCCTTTACTTAACTCGGCCGCCTACCGTAGTTCACCGACGGGCCGTTAAACCCAGTGGGAGCAGTATACTCAGACGGGGTGTAATCCGACGGGTTGTACTGGGTAGAGGGCTCCGCATAGTGCTGGCCATGAGCACCACCGTAGCCGGTGTTGTTATAATCATGAAGGATGCCTCCGGGCGCCGGGGCGGTGGGATCGTAGGAGCCTTGCATCGCGGTCCGGCCGTGTGCGCTGCCTAGATCATCCACCTCGCTCTGGTGCAGGAGCGCATAGTCCTCATCCCGATCGCCGCGGGACGAGGCGCCCATGCCGCCGCCTCGGCCGGAACGGATGTCATCCTCATCCTCCTCGAAGTCATGGGCTGGGTTCGACGAGAAGGCGGCTTTGCTCTGCGCGGCGAAGGTGGGGTCGGAGACGGCGTCGGGGAGGGTTCCGGTGCGGCGGAAGTGCACCACGTTGCGGAAGGACATCCAGGCGGTGATGGCGAAGAGGATGCTTTTTGACGGTTAGTTTCATTCAAAGGACCGCTGTGTCGCGCAGTTAGAAGGAATTCACGTACAAAATGAAAACACCAATAATTGTAGTTGCCTCGCTCAGCTTGCACTTGGAAGAGCTTCCGTATGCCCAATTATCGCATCCGGTCTTGGTGCTCTTGTCATCGGCTCTCTTGGTGGTGGATTTGGAGTCCGAGCTGGACTTGTCGTCGGAGCTGCTCGAGCCCTTGGATTTTCCTTGGGCGACGTAGGAAGCGAGACAGATCCAAGCACTGAGCCAGAGAATCGAATAGAGAATGTCGACACAGGCGAAGGCATACACGTTACCGAAGCGTCGGGCACGTGGCCACATTGGCACTGCCACCAGGTAGACCAGACCGGGAATACTCAACCAGCACTGCCATGCGATGGTACGTCAGTCGAGGAACTCTTTCTTATATATCAGAAACGTAGGAATGGAAGACTCACCAGACCCCAGTACCAGCCTGTGCGTCCATCGATGCCGTCTCCTTTAGTCCAGATAGCGATGGTTAAAGCCCATGCAAGGAAGATAGTGAATCCTTGTACGAAATGTATTATGTTTTTTGTCCGTCCGAGGCTTCCGCCTGACGGCATTTGAAACTTCATCTTATGTGTAGGAGCGCTGCAAGGGTGTTGCGCTTTGGGTGACCCGGAGGGAAGGGAGGGGGTAGTATCGGAGTGAGGAGATAGTCTATCGTGAAGTCATATGGCACAAAAAAAAAAGGTGAGAGATGAGACAAGAACAGAGTCGAGACCTGAAGAATGAGACCGGGGGGGGTCTGTCTTGGCCAGGCTGCGTGGAGAAAAGTGTCGGTTTGTTTTGTTTTGTTTTTTTTTTCTGTTCGCCTTTCCGTCGCAATGTCGCAACTTTGCAATTATTATAATCAGAACGATAGATAAATGTAAATTGAAGAGTTCAATATTCAATCCGACGATTAATCTCTCTGCCCGACCCTCTTGTTTCTATAGGGCATACGTACGTCCTCCACATCGCCCAGGCGACAGTCCGTTACTATTTCGGGAACTCCGCCACACTTTGCTTGGCGTATGCCTGTCACTTGACATCATAGTCTCGTTTCTCGTATACTCATGCTAACATAAAGGGAAATAAAGAGAAATACATCAAGTCAATCCTGCTTCTCGTGTTTGTTTCATCAACACCCAGATCTCGCGCAAAGGTTGATAGACATGAACTTGCCACCACCACGGAACCGGATCAAGAAAAGAGAACAGGGGGTCTTTCCAAAACAACAGTCTCACTAGCTCTGCCTCAACAACTTCAAGAGCCGTAAGCGCAAAGTGAAATAACGAAAACTGCAAGAAAGCAGCGGGAAGAATGGCAGATCGGGCAAACGTTGGTGCTGAACGGGTTGATGACAGTGTCGCTGCTATGTTGGCTGTATCGACTGGATCGGAAGGGAACACAGAGAGATACCCTGCAATGGGGCAAGGTACATTATACAGCAAGTTATCGACAGCTTTGGCACCAGGTGTACAGCCGGCGATGTAGATAGTGTGTCGGACAGAGTTCGCGTCGAACTCCTCGTCGACCATGAGTCTGACGGAGAGATGACCTGTCAAGCGAACACCGCCTTTGGCTGCCAATGTCTGCATGAGCCTCTGGACCGAAGCGGCCAGAGCTTCGTCTAGACGCGATGCACCCCAAGTAGATGAACCAGAATCCGAAACCCGAACCTTGATGGCTTGAACATGGCCACGCACAATCAGTAGGTCTGCGAATATCTCTCCAAGACGAGGTTGTTGCTGCAAAATCCAGGGCCGATCCTTGGAAATCTGGATCTCGCTAACCACTGTGTATGTCTTGCTCAGCGTACGTCTCGGCAAGAGCATAGCCTTCTCATTCGCAGATGGAAATGCTCGGAAGATCTGGTAAGATTTGGAGGGCGACCGGTGCAAGATCTTGTGCACAGAGTCACGCGATTGGACCTTGTGATACTCAAGCACAGGAAGGCCTCTCTCAACCACATACTGTCTGAAAGAATCAGGATGAGCGAAGCAAGCCGCCAATTCGGTGTCGAAGGTGATACACTTGCAGCTAGTGCGACTCTCAACGACCTGTCGGGCCGTCGCATCTTCAATGGAAGATACCTTGGGCGAGCATGGAATCCACAGATCGACCTTTTCGCGGTGAATAACGTCAAGTAGCCGGGAGATGTAATGGGCCTTGGGCATCCGGTAGAATGCCACCAGGGCCTTTGACATGCTCCCTCCGGAGCGCACGGGTAGATCTAGGTCTGTAACATCGGCGCCAACCACACGGTGGCCTTCTACAGCCCATGATCTTGCCAGAGTCAGGCCGTGAGTCGTACCTATGCCCGTGATGAGGATTGTTTTCGGGTAAAAACGTACATTCCGTTGGGTCGCTCGGCGTCGATTAGCCGTTGATTGGAGATAGGATAATAATTTCGCGACCACGAGAATGGTGTTATCGACAAATAACAACGAGAATGAAAGGCATATTCGAAGGAGATGCCAGAATACTCGTGGCAAAGTCCCCGCTGACACCGAAGCTTGGGCGGATTTGATGGACATGCTGAGTCTGTGTCTCACCGCGACGAACAGATAAATATGCCTGGTCATTTGACCATAGGTATTGAAAACAATGAACCTCGAAAGGCTAATCTGAAGTATACCTAGGACATGGTCGCTGACAAGGAGTGAAAATGTGAGTTGGTGGTGGCTGGGTATTAATTAGGTGAGGGGCTTGGGCTGCAGATCTAGCTCGGTGTGACAATGTGACGATGCACTTTCAAGACTAAACATTTAAACACCTAAACACCTCGATCTATGCGAAGAACTTGGATGATCTAGATCTTTGGGTAAATTTATCTAGAACTAACGGCGCGGGTCTCGGATCTAACCTCCAGGGCTAGGAAATGCCCGGGTTTACCACATGGGATCAGGTTTCCGACCCTTTATCAAACTAGTGCGCTCGGTACTGATTACCTGAAAAGGTATCTCCGAGGTATATGAATTTCCAGACTTGGAATGGTGATAACGCCATCTACTAAGGAATGGTGAATGATGAATGATGAGTGGTGTGCGTGGTCCGACTCGGACTTATCTACTGCCTTTACCCGAAGTATATCCAGGGTTAACCCCGAGGTGAGTTGCCATCTATAAATCAGCATGTCCAGATAGAATTACCTGGATCATTTTATCCAATTCCCTTGCTCTAACTTCACGTCATGTCTACACCAGTTCCCGCGGTAAGAATTGTATTCTGACCCTCTGACTGTGAGAAATGAACGCTAACTCATACTCTAGAGCGACGCCGGCAAGGAGCTGCAGCTTCTGCATTACGTCTATGAACAGCCAAACCTGGATGAAATCCAGGGCCATCCTCAAAAAGTGATTGATTTGATTCACGAGTTTGAGAAACAATACCGTTTTATGAATGTTGGCGCCGAAAAGGGCAAAGTCGTCACCAACCTTATCGATGAACTCAAGCCAAAGACCATGATCGAGCTCGGTTGCTACGTGGGATACTCTGCGATCTTATTCGGTGATGCAGTCCGTCGAAACGGCGGCGAACGCTACTTAAGTCTCGAGTTGAACCCAGAGTTCGCCGCAATTGCCAATATGCTTGTCGAGCTAGCTGGACTGCGTGACTTTGTGCGTATAATCGTTGGTCGAAGCGACGTGTCGCTACACAAACTACTCACCTTGGGCGAAGTGAAGAAAGTGGAACTTCTTTTCATTGATCATTACAAACCGGCGTACACCACTGACCTCAAGCTGTGTGAGCACTTTGGGGCTATTGCGCCAGGTTCAGTGCTCGCTGCTGACAATGTCCTTCATCCGGGCAACCCACCATATCTGGAATACGTCCGCAGCACGGTGGAACAGAAACGTGAGGCGGCCAAGGCTGGACCTTCCCAGGCATATAATACTACCGGGATGGGCGAACGGACGGTAGAGTCCTTTGTGGGTAAAGATGACGTGCCCACTTTCCAATTTGTCGGGAACCCGAACTTGGTGTATGAGAGTCAGCTTAACCAACCCGAAGGATTGCGGGTAAGTTGGAATCATCAAAGAAGCTTTCGGTGTAGCTAACCGCGATTGGGTTAAACAGGATGCCATCGAAGTTACAAGGTGTGTGGGGGTGCAGGCATAGATGCTACATAAAAAGGTAAATGACGCAAGCGGGACAGAGCGGCATAAGCCGCTACTAAGGAATGGCGATTCTTGCAGGAGGAACCATGGCGGAGATCTAGCGGATAACTTCCGCCTCAATAATTTTTAGTCTCTTGAAGAATCATACCATTCCATTTCATTGGTTCCATCAAATAGAGACTCCGGTATCCGTTAAGAGCTATGCTCATTGTTCTTTAATCTCTCCAAGAGACCTGTAGTACACATTTGTCCGAGAGGTTCGTGGACACTGGCAGTGGGAGGGATTCATGCCATAGGTCAAGACTCATTAATAATTAGGCGTAGAGTGCTCCGGGTAGATGTATAAAGTAGAGTCGAACATTGCCACATCGGGGAAACCGACTCGGCCCTTGGGGCGACCCCCACTTGAGTCAACGTTGCCGTCGCCAGGACCTTCCCACGTTCTCCCCGTTAAATGATTTCCGGGGCCAAAGTACAACATATAAATACTTAGGTAGTCCCCGCCCCTCCTAATTCCTCCCTTAATTAAATCTCAATCTATAATCCACCATGGCTAGCAAGACTTACAATGTCGGCGTTGTTGGCTACGGCTTCAGCGCAAAGATCTTCCACATTCCCTTCGTGAAGGAGGTCCCCGAACTCAAGCTCTATGCAATTGTTCAGCGCACCCCGAAGCAAGACGATGATGCTGAGAAGGATCACCCCGGTGTTAAGTCTTTCCGTACCACTGAGGAGATGGTCCAAGACCCCGCAATTGACGTAGTGATCATCACTACTGCCCCCGATTCTCACTTTGCGCTGTCCAAGCTGGCGCTGGAGGCTGGCAAGCACGGTAAGTGCCCAGAAGTGCCGAATAGCAATTGGGTATAGAAACTAACGTGGAACATAGTTGTCTGCGAGAAGCCCTTTACCCCCACCACCCAGGAAGCCGATGAGCTCGTCGCCATTGCGAAGAAGAACAACAAGCAGCTTGCCGTGTTCCAGAGTATGTTTCATCGTCTAACGTATTAAGACTCCTACTAATGCCTACCCTAGACCGCCGCTTCGATGCCGACTTCGTGACCCTCTCCAAACTCGTCAAGAACGGCTCTCTCGGCCGCATCTCCGAGTATGAGACCCACTTCGACCGCCACCGTCCCGAGGAGCCAGCTTCCGACTCTCACAAGTGGAAGAATAAGGTCATCCCTGGCGGCTCAGCAATCTACGACCTCGGAACCCACCTCCTCGACCAGGCCGTGCACCTGCTCGGTCTCCCCGCGCGGGTGACCGGTTTCATTGGCTCCGCCCGGGCGGCCAGCTCGTCTTCATACGAGGACTCCTTCACCGTTCTGCTGCAATATGCCAGCGGCCTATTGGTTACCGCCAAGGCGACCGTGGTCAGCCCCGAGGATGAGCAGCTGCGCTTCTGGGTGCGCGGTGACAAGGGTAGCTTCAAGAAGGTAAGAGCATACACTTGCCCAGACTACGGATGTAAAGAAAAGTAAAACTGACATGATTGTATAGTATCACCTTGATATCCAAGAAGATCAGCTTAAGGCCGGCATCATGCCCCAGGATAAGGGTTACGGCCGAGAGCCAAGCGAGCGTTACGGCGCTCTGACTACTATCAAGGACGGCAAGCCCTTCAAGGAGGTGGTTCCTACCGTGGAGCCGCCCACCTACACCGAGTACTACCGCAAGCTTGTTCGTGCTCTTAATGGTGAGGGCGATCTGCCTGCCAGTGGCGCGGAGGCTCGCGAGGTCATTCGTTTGATCGAGTTGGCTCGTGAGAGTTCCCGCACTGGGCGTACTTTGGACGTCTAAGCTCGGGTTTGTAAAATACAATAATGATTATGATATACTTGATAGCTAAAAGGCAATATAAATTGAAGTCTTGGATGAAAATTGAAATTCTTTGCTCTAATAAATACAAAATACCCTTGCAGTTGACAACTAAGTACTTAGCCTTGTTGCACAATCGCTTCAACGGCCAAAACTATGTCTAATAATCTCCTAAGTACGCCGAATTCGTCTGAATATCCATATCCATATTGCTGCCTAACAACGGCCCCCCCTAACTGCTTAGCCCGTTGACTGGATTCTCACCGTCACATGGTATGCACGAGCTAGGGGCCTGAGCATATTTTTGTCTTATACGAACCCGAACGGAAGGCTTTTCCAAATTGTTCCACGGCCCTCCTGAAGAATTCAATCTTGAGCTAAGAGATATTCGTGAAATGGACGTTAAATCGCTACCGGATTTCCAATTCATTCCATATCCAGTCGAGTCTAAAGAACTACTACCACCAGATGAACCAATTACTCTCAACACCTCGTCCTCATGGACTTACTGCGGACCCCTCTTGAGCCTTGAATCATGTAATCTGCCATCCTCCTTTAACACCTGGGCAGAAGCCACACTCAGCGGCTCAATATTGCCCTCCTTATTTTCCTTCCTGGCATACGTCCACGACTTCCTGACCAAAAACAACCAATCCCACTACTGGCTCACAATCAGAGCAAGCAAAGGATCGGACGAATTCGACACCCCACGCTGGCACACGGACGATTTATTCTTCTCCCCACTCATACCACCAATAAAACACAGACGTGAATCGCTGTTGTCGCCAATCACTAATCTACTCAAATCCACCTGGACAGGACCAACAACAAACCAGGATCTCTCAACTCCAATCTTACCCTCAAATTTACAAACCAACCATCATGACTATTACCCGGCACCTACGCCCCCAACTGCCCAAATCCCATCTATAAGCCCAACCCCGACAAACTGGAAACTCACAACAACCCTCCTAGGCCCTGGAACCCTATTCATCCCACCTACAACAAACCACCTAGCCCGCGCCACTCAACAAGCCGTCAAAACCGCCGCCCGCGCCGCAGACCCAAACCACATCTGCGTCTCCGTGCGCTGCGTCGGCTGCGCCATGGCGGCGGAGTCGGTGCGAGCACGGCTGGCCGTTGAGCTGGGCGGACATGGGACTGTGCAGGCGTCAGCGGGGGAGTGTGTTTTCTTCCGGGTTGGTGAGGACAAGGGCGCTGTACATTCTGAGCCAAGATCCCATGGGGATCGGGTTTTTGTAAACGTTGTTCCTGGTCATGAGGCGGATCTTAGGGCGCTTATGGCGAAGTGGGGGATGGAGTATCCGCGCGCTTGGTGTGTTGGGTTGCCGTTGGTTATTGGGGAGGGCGAGGAGTGTTTAAGGGATGTTGGGGGTGAGATTTGATTCTCTTCTTTATATCTCACTATTCTTTAGTATAGATGGATGCTCTGTTATTGGGTATATAACACAATAGCTGCGAGAGCTGGTTTGTGTGGAAAAATCAACTCTATTTCTTACTTCAGTGATACTCCATAACAGCCAATATATGTATTTCATTCGTAGTGAGACTGAAGCATAGAGCGCATCTATAAG